TGAGGTAAATGTTCAACTCATATGCCTGTCTTTTGTTTGGCTGGAAACCACAGGTGTGGGTTCGATTCCAGACCCAAAGGGCAGCTAGGGGCCATAGTCTCAGTGGTTCCATCCGGCTCTATGGGACCAGCGCTCCTTTTAACACACTATACTTTCACTAAATTATTTTCCCTGAAGATAATCTCTCGGAAGGTAGAATATTGTATCTATTTTGTTCACTGCTATATTCCAAGTACCTAGAGCAATGCCTGGGACTGTAGAAGCCCATTAAAAACTTGCAAACTAAGAAACAAATGAACTCTATGCTTCATTATAGTATCATGTTTATACCTAATACTTTTTCATATAAGCAAATCTCGATATCAGAGTGAACCCTTTGCAAGAGTAAGGGCTCTGATATTTGGTTCAAAAAAGATGATCATATTTAGTTTTGATTAATGGGCTAGGGAATCAACAAGAGATGACTTGAAGGAGAGACAAACAGGAGCGAAGGCACCAGTGAAAACTTCAAACTGTATGCTAATTTATTTCTTTTATTGTGTAATATTGGTGAAGCATCTATTTCATCTACATCTGACTGCAGACAAATGAGAACTTTAATAACATTGAGCAGTACACTAGCACAAAGCAACTACTTTTCCAAGGACCCATATTAACCCCTGTAAGATGTGGCATTCCTCAAAAATGTAATTTCTATCTTGCTACTGGCGACTGCATAATTCAGCTGAGCTTGGAGCTTGGAGTCCAGCTAAGCACTTGCTTTTATATTTGCTCAACCTTGCCTTCAAGTTGCTGTGGCAACAAGATCTGTGCTGTGCAGAAGCTTAGAATAACAGCAGCCTCTGCAGTGCTCTGCTGTAAGTTCAGGGATGGGTAGAGGCACAGAGCATGGCCTTAATACCACTGTGACAAGCCATGCACATGGATGGAGTTTGAACACCTCAGTTCTTTTAAAGTTGATGGGGTTATTGTTGCCATTTGAGGTAGGACAGTTCTTCACTGTGCATGACTGTCCTTTTCCAGGCTGGCTTATCCAGTAGCACAATCCACCTAGCTGCCCCAGGTATTTCTGGCTGCCTGCAGTTAAGAACTGCTTAGACCACACTCAAGTGGCAGTGGTCTGGATATTGAAAAGAATGCATGCATGGTACAGACGTGTGCCTTCTATCAGCTGGGCAGAGTAAATCGGGAAGTTGTTCTTGAATGCTGGCTATGTGCAGGGGGAAAGTGAGGTGCTTTAGGAATGCAAAGATGTGCCATTTTAAAAGATCTTTGAAAAATATGATTGTTTACTGAGCTGAAATTTTCATACTACAGGTAAGCCTAGTTAAAAATTCTTCTCATGTAAATTTGAGTCAGATCTTTAAAAAAAAAAAAAAAAAAGGATCGCTTTGACCTAAACAGTTACTTCTCCAAAAAACCAAACTCACTGCCACCAAGTCAAATCCGACTCATGGCAACCCCTCCTTGGGTTTCTGAGGCGATATCACTATGGAAGTAGATTGCTCCATCTTCCTTCCAAGGAGTGGCTGGTGGGTTTGAACCGCCAGCCTTCTGGTTAGCAATCAAATGCTTAGGCATTACACCACCAGAGTTCCCAAAATAGTTACTTCTTGTTGTTGTTGTTGTTATGTGCAGTCGAGTCAGCCCTGACTCATAGCGACCCCTCCTTGGGTTTCCGAGGCAGTATCACTACAGAAGTAGGATTGCCCAAAAATAGTTACTTAGAAATCCTAAAAAATAAGTATGATAATATTTCATTATCTTTATGAATATAGCTTATACTTAAATGTTGAATATAGAGTACTTAACTAAGAAGCTGTGGTGGCACAGTGGTTAAAGCATTCAGCCACTAACCAAAAGGTCAGCCGTTTGAACTCACTAGCTCCTTTGCAGGAGAAAGATGAGGCAGTCTGCCTCCAAAAAGTTTTGCAGCCTTGAAAACTCTATGGGGGCAGTTCTACTCTGTCCTGTAGGGTTGCTGAGTCAGAATCAACTTGGTGGTGGGTTTGAATTTTATTTTTGGGGTGTTATAGTGAATGGAATTTTCTTACCTTCATTTTCATAATTAACATCTTTGGACATAGTTGTCGTCGTCATCCATCTCCCCCCCTCCCCTGTTAAATGAGTATGTTAGCGGGATAGATTCTTAGAGGTAGAGTTATTGGGTCAAAGAGTATTTATATTTAACATTTCAATAAATATTGCCAAATTGGCCTCTAAAATAGTGGCTCCAATTCACATGAACAGAATATAAGAGTGACTTTAATAAGCTGTTTCCTATGTTATGTATTAGGAGCTCTGGTGGCATAGTGCCTAAGGCATTTGACTGCTAACCAGAAGGCTGGCGGTTCAAGCTCACCAGCCGTTCCTCAGAAGGAAGCTTGGGCAATCTACTTCTGTAGTGATATCGCCTCAGAAACCCAAGAAGGAGTTATGGGTAGGATTCAACTTGACGGCAGTGAGTATATTATGTATAATAAAGTTTTTGAATTTACTTTCTGGTAAGAGAATAATGATATATCCCTGTTGTTTGACTATGCTTTTATTTAATTACAGGTATGGTTGTATGTATTTTCTTTGTCGGTCATATATTCCTTTTACTGTGGATTACCTGTTTAAGTCCTTTGCCCATTTTTTTTTCTTTTGACAAATAACTCATTAATATTCATACCTCAGTAGAATATTAATTTTTTATTTTTCCCCTTGGGTTATAAATTAACTATGAAATTCTATAATTTAGGGTCATTGGAAATGACTGACTTTTTGAACAAGTGGCAAAGAACTGGGTTTGTATCGTGTGTCTGTGGAGGACTCTATATGTCTGTATGTACCTGTGTACTTTCTAGTAGAATTGCATCTAATTACAAGAAGCATTTATTGAATGTCTAATTGGTGCCAGAAACTCTGTTACTGCGATAATAAGATACTGTTCCTGCTTCCCTGGGTGCTTACAGTCAGTCTAGTATGGGAGCCAGGGAGCATGGTGGAGGGAGGAATTTATTCTGTCTGTTTTAACAGAGGCACCTGGTAAAAAGTATCAGCAGAGGTGCTGACCCTTTTGCTTGGTTTTGAAGGCTGATTCTGCTAGGTTGAGCAAGACAGGGCAGTTCAGGCTGAGGAGAAATCATAGGCAAAGGTTGGAGGATCAAAGTGCAGCCCAGTCTTGGGGATGCCGAGGATGTGGCAAGAGGAGAATATACTCCTGCCTATTGGAACTGGCGGGGAGTGGGACTTGAAAGTAGTTTGAAGCCATATTGGATAATAGTTTGAATGCCATGCTAAAGAGTTTGAATTTTGACTTTCTAAGTTTAGAAGGCATGGATGGACTCTGAAGTCAGGTATAGGATTTTAAAATGTAGAGGCCTAATCAATAGTTACAGTGATGGTACAGTGATAGCTAAGCTAAGCACAACTTAAATATTAACTCGTTCAGCCTCATAACTTCCACGTAATGGTCTATTGGTGTATGATTTATACAAATCCGAACCTGGATTTTCTTAATATAACTAGCACATCAAACAGTTATTTCTACTGAAATTTTTTTTTACATGAAACTTCAGAAATATATCTGTTGTGTGAAAAAACAAACAAGCAAGCAAACAAACAAAAACACCTTTTCCTTCATTTTCCTTTTTTTTAAATTGGTTTCTTGGCTTTTTTTAGATAGGGGGGTCACACATTTGAATGTCACAGGATCGTGAAGGCCCTGTGAATGAGAGTCCACCTGGTGAAAAGCATTCTTTTTGCCCGTGTGAGTGAGGGCTGGGCAGCGTTCAGCCCTTGCCTTAGGAGTCAATCCAGACTCTTCTCAGCACAGACCATGTGCCATTTAGGAGGTGGACTCAGTGTAGAGCTGCTGATTTTATGTGAATTCTCCCAATTTCTAAATGTTGGCTTAAATATTTTAAAATACTGGGCAGGCCTAACTAACATATTTGACCCAGGATCACCAACGTTCCCTCTATTTTAGATATTTACTCTAGACATTTGAGACTAGCCAAAATACTTCAATAATTTAGCCATATATATTCCATTGATAATACTGTTCTCTAGGGAAGGGCCAAGGAGCTCTGGTGGTGTAGTGCTTAAGACATTTGGCTGCTAGCCAGAAGGTCAGTGGTTTGAACCCACTGGTCACTCCATAGAAGAAAGATGGGGCAATCTGCTTCCGTAAAGATTTATAGCCTTGGAAACCCAATGGGGGTCGCTATGAGGCAGAATCAACTCCACGGAAGTGAGTTTCATTTTTTTGGAGGAAAGGACGAGAGTCAAGACTTAGAACCACCATTTTGAGGATTAAAAGTACAGTCATTTCTCATTAGTTTAGATGCTCTGTTTCAGTAATACATGAAAGAGAAAGGGACTTTCATGTGAAGTGAGGGAATGATAATTTTGGGAAGGGAGAAGGATGATTCCTTTTTTTGAGGAGGTCTTTAGAGCTACTAATGTAGAAAAATAAATCTGTATTAGACAAATTTGAAAGGCTTTAGAGTTTTAAAGATTGTAGCTCATTAAAGATCTCCAGAGAAATCAATCCTGATAGGTGTAATTTGCATTTTCAAAAAATAAGTTATTTCTAGAAAAACCACAAAGCAAGTTTTGAAAATCTTTTGAAATCCTGTATTGTGTCTGCTTTGTATGATTCCCAAAGAAATGGCCAAATTGCTATTTTAGTTTCATCAGGATGCTTATTTGAAGAAGAATACCATACAATCCTGTGAGATCTGTTCATTTGTACAGGTCCTAATGCTGAAATGAACAACTTGCTTTCAGACAAACAGGTGGCTTAGATTTCATACTTGACAGCATATATGTTTGAGATTGTCAGAGGGTAATGTGAATTAAAATGGGACATCAGTTTCCTCACTTTCAGTTTGGTGGGGAAGGGGAGTTGTAAAATCAGTATTGATCAGATCAAATAAAATAAAATGTATGAGATAGTAATGTAATAAGCTGTTATATTATTGAACTTACTAAGAATTGTTATTATTAACTGTGATATTTTTACCTTTATTTTCTTTCCTCTACCTGCTACCCAGTTGAGAAAATGTTTTAAAATTAAAAAAAGAAAGTTTGTATCCAAATATATTGTTTAATTTACTGATTTTTCATAAAACACCACATCAACTTTTTTACACAATTCAACACTAAATTAAAAAGAAAAAAAATCATGTTTGAGCCCATGGCAAATTAGAATAGTTTTTTCATTATTATTAGGAAATGACAAACTCACCAGCCTACCTGCAATAACAGTCTCATTCATCATCTCAATGTAATAGTTCTGAAGGCAGGTGGCAGCCTTAAGTCAACCTACCGTTTAGGTAAAGAGAAATGATTGTAGGTTGCTTGGATTGTCATGCCTTGGTGAGAGGATTAAAAACAAAAAAAAAATTATGTTATGAAGCTAAAAGAAAAATAATGACCAGCATATGGCATAACCAGATTTGCTAATTCATCTTCACTGATTATTTTATACACGCTCAATATTTTGTTCTTCAATAACATTTGTTTTCTTGGTTATACAAGCAAATCATACTTGTTGGATATATTTTGAAAATGCTGAAAAATTAACAAAAAGCAAATAATTCATCTTTTATCTCACCACCTAGAGATAACTGTGTAAGGTAATGGATGGGCTCTGAAGTCAGACAGATTGAAGTATTTACTATTTATTATTTGTCTTTGTTTAAATTACATAACATTTCTCTGCCTCAATTTCATCATCTATAGAATGGGGATAATAATAGAATTTACCTTATAGGATTGTTGGGAGGTAATGCATTAAAAGTAATTAGTAGTCTTTGGCACGTGGTGAATATAGAATTCTCTATCTATTGTTATTTCCTTTTAGTCTTCTAAGCATGCATTTTTGAATAGTTATGATCATACTGTGTATCTATTTCTTGTTATTTCCCTTAACACCACAGCATGAACATTTTCTTGTTCTATGTCCATTGATAAATTCCCTTATTCTGAGTCTTTGTCCACATTTCTAACTATTTCCTCAGGATACAGGTATCCCTCTTCAACTGATTGCAGCCTATCTAGCTTACAGGCATTACTGAAGCAGGAAATGATCAATTCTGGGGTTTTAATCTTGTGACCATGACCTGAGGAGGAATGTCATATACTTCAATGATGTCAGTTAAACACTTGGGTACCAACTCAAAGGCTGGTGGTTCAAACCTACCCACTGGCACTTTGGAAGAAAAATCTGGACATCTACCTCCAAAATATCATAGCCATTGAAATTCTGTGGAACACAGTTCTACTCTGAAATACATGAGGTCACCATGAGTCAGAACAGACTCCATGGCGATTAGTTTTGTTTTGTTTTTCAGCAGCTCAGTGAGTCCAGGTAGTATACAAGACAATTATGAGAGAGCATATCATTCAGCCTGGTGTTTGAATCTTGATTCTGCAACTTTGGCAATGTATTGAACCTTTCTGAGCCCCTTCTAAGGAGCCTTGGTGGCACAGGGTTAAGAGCTTGGCTGCTAATTAGAAAGTCAATGGTTTGAACTCACCAGCCTCCATGGGGAAAAAATGTAGCAGTCTGCCATGGAAACACTATGGGAAGTTCTACTCTGTCCTACAGGGTCACTGTGAGTTAGAATCAATTTGATGGTAAAGGTCTATCTTCAAGGTCCCTTCTATGCAATGGGTTAAAAATAATACATATTTCATGGGGTTGGTTTGAAATTAGATATTTTGATATTTAATCCTGGCACATGGTAAGCACTTAATGTTAGTGCTCCTATTGTTTGTTGTTATGTTTGGCATTTAAAGTTTTCATAATTAAATATGAAGATTGCCGTGATTTTTGTTGTAGTTTTTGGGGTCTCCAGACCCCAACCCACCAAAGGAGAGTTCTTGTCTTCCACTGACCAAAAATGACCAGGTGAGACAAAGAAAATTTCGTATTAGCAAAGATTGTTATTATAGGAAGAGAGTCTGGCCAGAGGAGATGGAAGAGACCTCAAAAACTATATTAGTTTTCATAAGTAGTGTGATATAAGCTATAAAACATAAGACAATACAAATAGTTTTTAGTTCAAGATAGTTTGATTTTTTCCCCCTATTTTAAATATGACAGAAACATTTTATCTTTCCTAAATTTATTGGCCAGAAGGCAACATGGGAAGAGACGATTGATTTAATCAAGTCTTATAAATAACTTTTCATAATTTATTTATCTTCAGTGATTCAAAGGTGGAATGTTATTTTTGTCCACATTACTGTAGACAGACAACAATGCTTTACGTTTGTTTTTATTAAAAGTTAAATTTAAGCAAAACATCTGCAAATAATGCAAACATATGTAGAATGCTTACTGTGTGCTGTATAGTGCTCAAGATATTTTTCTTTCAATAGTTCACTTAATCCTCACAGCACCCATTGAGGAAGATTCTATTCTTGTTCTTTCTTTCTTTATTTATTTTTTTAAATAGATAATGAGGTGAAGACACAGAGAAGTTAAATAACTTGTGAAAGGTTGTACAACTAGGGAGACGATTCCATCAGATATAGTCTGACCTGAGAGCCAGTATTAGCTGTTCTACTCTGTTACCTAACATTCACATAGAAAAAGAGTAATAACTGATTAAATAGAATATGTTTATAGTGAATTTATAACTCAAGAGTTAATATCATATTCAAGGGTAAGTTTTTTTTTTTTTTACTTTTTTTTCTAAATTGTGATTTGGGTGAAAATTTACAGAACAAATTCACTTTCTGTACAGCAGTTCACATACACTTTGTCTCATGATATTGACCACAATTTACCACAATGCAACAGATCCCCTCCCACTTCCTCTCTGTAAGTCACCTTTTCTCTGTGTCCAACCCTCCATGCACTCCTGCCCCCTGAGCTGTCTCCCTGTGCATAAGCAGCCCTTCTTTCTCCCATGATTGTTCTCTCCAAGGAGTGTATCTACCTCAGGGAAATGTTCAACTTATATACCTGTCTGTTGTTGGCTGGAAGCCACAGGCATGGTTTCAATTCCACACCTGAAGGGCAGCTAGGGGCCACAGTCTCAGTGGTTCCACCAGGCTCTATCAGACCAGCAAACCTGCCCCCACCCTTTTTTTTCCTCCAAATGATTTTGAGTTTTGTTCCACATTGTTCTCCCTCTCTATCCAGGATCTCCTACATGATGCCCTTCAAAGTGGTTGACATTGGTAGCCGGGCACCATCTAGTTCTGATCTCATAGTCATATAGGCTAAAGATCAGATGGTGTACCAGTCGCTAGGACTGTTTCCATGATTTTTTGGTTTTCTTCATTCTTTGCTCCGGACAAGGAGAGACCCATCGTTGCATCTAGATGTCAGCTTGCAAACTTTTAAGACCCCAGTCGCTACTCGCCGAAGTAGGAGGTGGAACAATGTTTTGTGTACTATATTATGCCAATTGAGCTTGATGTCCCCTGCAACTATGGTCCCGAGTCCACAGGTTCAACTACTCGGTCCCTCTTGGTAGCTGGCTGTGACAAAGCAGTGACTACAACCTTGCCCCTTGTCAGCTCTACTATACACCTGGGAATTCTGATCATACACATAAATTTACAGGACCATTGTCTGCCAACCTCAAGGGTAAGTTTTTAAAAATTTAATTCCTTTGTGGAAATACATACGCATAACATTTCTTTCTTTTTTTTCCTTTTAGTTTTTCACTTATGGGACAAAAATATTATGTCAAAACACTAAAGCTTCACAGTCTAAATTCTTTCCACCCCTTCAAAAAGTGATGCTACCACCTAACAGTTTTCAAGGCAAAGTGGCATTCATTACTGGAGGAGGAACTGGCCTTGGGAAAGGAATGGCAACTGTTCTGTCCAGCCTCGGCGCCCAGTGTGTAATTGTTAGCCGGTAAGTCCTTTTTAGCCAGTTGTAAGAGAGTCCTTTAAAGAAAGAGTTCTGCTGCCATAGTATTAAAATCCTTGTTTGCCAAAGTGGTTTGGTTTGCATCTTAATCTTATAGAAAATACCTTTCTTGTTGTTAGTTGCTGTGGAGTCAGTTCTGACTCAGGGTGATCCCATGTGTACAGAGAAGAACTGCTCCATAGATTTTTCAAGGCTGTGACCTTTCAAAAGCAAGTCACCAGGCCTGTCTTGTAAGGTGCCTCTGGGTGGGTTCACACAGCCAGTCTTTCTACTAGTAATCAAGTGCTTAACCATTTGATCCACCCAGTGACTTAAAATACCATTGTTGTTGTTGTTATTTGCCGTGGAGTCAGCCCCGATTCATAGCGACCCCTCCTTGGGTTTCTGAGGCAGTATCACTACGGAAGTAGGATTGTCCAACCTTCCTTCCGAGGAGTGGCTGGTGGGTTTGAACCGCCAGCCTTCTGGTTAGGAGTCAAGTGCCTTAGGCACTATGCTCTAGAGCTCCCAAAATAGATTACTTAAATTTCCTTAGAAAAGTCAGATTTAATTTGAGATTAATAGAAATGATGATGACTATTGACTCGACAGAAAATAACAACAACAATGGTGCTTATGATACATGTATTTCCCAAATTCAGGAATAGCATATTTTTTCTGCACATGAAGATGAAGTTAGAAAGCACTACATTGAAACT